AACAGCTCGTCTCGACTTCTCCAGGCTGAGGCAATGATGGCGCCGCCATAACTGGTCTCGCCATCAAAGGACGGGTTTATAGTGCTACTGTCCGCGCTGTATTGTTGTACGGTTACGAGACGGCCTACTCGCACGAATGACCTACGTTGACTGTCTGGTTTCGAAAACCGATACTTGCGGTCTATCGCCCGCTTGGTGGCTGAACCACGTAACCAACGTTGAAATCAAAACGTGTCTTGGGTGGAGACAGGCACTCTCTAAAGGCGCTTGTCTTGCTGCGCCAACGACGATGGCTCGGACACGTACTGTGTATACCCGTTCAGCGTCTTCCGCGTCGTGCCTTGTTCGCAGTCGCCGAACAGGGCTGCAGGAGGCGGTGTGGTGGACAGCCAACAACTTGGAAAAGCAGGATGAAAAAGCTGACAAAACAGCTGGCCACGGTTGGTTCCTTCCGATTTCCTGGATGGGGTCCCAAGGACACTGAGTGCAGTTCGTTGGAAACGTTGGAAGTCATGGCTCAAAAACGAACTCAGTGGCACGCGGTGATTCCCCTTCCCTCCCACAATAAAAACATCGAAAATTAAAAAAGTGTGGGTGGAAAAATGGAGAAATATCGTTTGTTATCTTTCTTCTTTTACACTTAGTTTTCTTATGCTGCCGTGGTTGCGATTGCACAGTATTTGTAAACAGATTGTGACATATATATATATATATATATATATATATATATATATATATATATATATATATATATATATATATATATATATATATATATGACTGGTCCATCAAGTGGGAACTCCCAGTTAACCGTGACAAATGCGCTGTTCTCCCCATTGAGGACTTGGTTCCGTTCGGTGTATATCATGTTGGGGGCAATCTCCTAAAGACAGTCACTCACGAGGATTTTGGAGTTATCGTTTCAGGTGACCACAGAAGCAAAGCCGACACACTAAAGCTCGCGGATGCTAGCAGTATGCTGGGTACCCTACGAAGATTGTTCTCTCCAATCTCGCCAATCTTTAGAAACCTGTTTATTGCAGATGCCCGCCCAATCCTGGGGTATGACATTCCAGCTGCCTAGCCCCTCTCGAAACATGTAGACGACTTAGTAGAAAAGGTTCGGAGACGTGGCTCGAGATTCGTTAAGGAGCTTCGCGACTTCAGCTACCTCCTTCGACTTCGGAAGCTTGACTTGTTCCCCCTGGAGTATCGCCGCCGTCGAGGGGATCACGGTAACACCACACGGATCCTAAGGGGACATCTTGGGGTGGAGCTACAAAGTCTTTCGACTCAAAGTGGATACTTCGACAAGAGGTCAAAAGTGGAGGTTTTACAAATGAAGAATACTTTTCGTACAGTCTGATGCTGCCCTATTTAGCCAGGTGGTGAACGATTGGAACAGCTTACCAGAGAAAGTAGTTGATGCACAGACTGAGGAACGTTTTAAACGTCTGCTAGATTGCCATCTGATGAGTACCTCGGGTTCCTGTTGCCCCATTTGCATAGGGGGCGATCTCCAAATGCGCGTCGACTAGCAAACAGAAGCATTTAACTTCGCAAGGAACTGGAAGTAATGGAACTGACAAGAGTCTCCTCTCCTGCTCTCTAAACAGCAAGGATCCAATTATGCATTAGAATATACCTCAGCAATTAGACACCGATAACGCCTTGTTTTTGGTAACCCAAACTCATGTCACTCATTAAGCAGGTTGTTCCATACTCTAGAAGTAAACGCTTCTTCAAAGACCCACCTTGAATTGAAGGTGAACTAAGATGCCCGACGAATCGACGACGCAAACTGTGGGACACGTTAAAAACTACGTAACCAGCGTTCCATTACTTCAGTTGTAAGGCGGTCAGGAACACCTGCACCTTAAATAAGCGCGGGAAACGACAGCAATATAAACCTCGCTTGGCCGAGAAATCGATAATCGCCCCCAAGCTACTTTCCTCCTGCTGGCAATGGAATACCTGCCCATTTTTATTTTGGAAATGGAATTATGCATGCAGATGACACAGAGGCACAGCTCTTGGCCACGCAGTATTCCTCTGTATTTTCCATTGAAGAACTATTGCCTAATAACCATGTCCTTCCATCCTCCCTCCAATCTAGCGTACCTTATAATCAGCACCGATTCAGTCACTAAACTGCTCCTCGAGTTAAATACGAACTCATCACCAAGTCATCATCATCATCATCATTACACGTTAGTTGGAGGTGGAAAACACCTCAGCCGCAATACACCTGTGCCGCAATACAAAAGAAAAGGAAAGGAAAACAGTGGCAAACAGTGGCACGCCCGCTGAGTCCCCAGTAACGGATGGACATCGTTCCAGAGAGCTAACAGCTGGCTGCCGTAAAACAGAATCGTATTATGCCTAACAGGTGAGATAGTGATTGGAGGGGGATACTAAACAGGAGGGGGATGGACAAAGGAAATCACAACACAAACGCCACTGGTGCCGGCTACGAGCCATATCAGCAAGTGTATCCAAGCAAACGTGTTCACCGTCCTTAGGACCCCAGTCAGGCAGTCGGGATGCACCAACCGACGCCAACTTCGAAGTGAGGATTTTCATTTCTCTCGACCAAGTCATCACTTGACCTCCCCTTCTCCTCTTCCAACCGAACCCACAACGCGCAAACAATGCACGTCGCGGGAGTCGGTGCGCTGGCATGCGCAACACGTGGCCCAACCACCGGCGCCTGGTGCGTGATATAATGGTGCAGAGCGGTTCAGTCGCTCTTCCTGCACCAAATACGAGGCGTCGAACACGCTCATTGCTCACGCGGTGTTCCCACCAGACATGAGCTAAGCTGCGAAGGCAGCGAGGACCGAATGTGACGAGCCTCTTCATGTCTGTCGACCTGATGGGCCAGGTTTCACAACCATATAGGAGAGTTGAACGGACAACTGCGTTGTAAACTCTGTCCTTCAGGGCGAGAGTAATGTCGCGTCTGCGCCACAGGTGGCGGAGATTGGCAAAAGCACCTCGAGCTTTTGCTTTGCGGTTCGTAACCATCGCACCACGGTAAGGTCCAGCCTCATTGCGATGGCTCACCGAGTTATGATGGGCTAAACCCTGTTTCTCAAAACAGTGGCTGTGTACATCGCTGCACCACTTCGCCAAGTTTTTAGCGATCTCTTCCGCTCACTTGGAAACCTGGAATACAAAGATGGAAGTCATCAGGATCCTGGAAACTATCGGCCGACTTGTGTAACATCCGTAGTGCGTAAAGTCATGAAGTAAATTCATAAGAGAGCCTTGCATGCACCTTGATAATGTGAATGTCATCTCTCCCGCGCAGCATGGTTTCCGAAGTGCACGTGTGTGTGTCTCCAACCTGCTTTTGGTCAGGGAAAGATGGGCTAAATCGTTAGACGCCGGAACACGCCTGGACGTCGTCTCTGTTATCTACAGGAGAGCATTTGATAAAGTTCCGAACAAAAGGCTTCTCTTTAAACTTCGGGGAAATGGTGTTTCTGGGGAGATTCCGTGTTGAATCGCCAATTTTTTGGATGGCTGTAGTACGCGAGTAAAGGTAAATGAAACTTTCTCCAAGCCCGTTCTTTTGACCAATGAAGTTCCGCAAGGCTTCGTCCTCGGTTCTGAGTTGTTCAAACTTTCATCAACGACATCCATCAGAACTCCGAGCGGATTGTTTGCTATATGCTGACCGCTCAAAGTTATGGCTAGCGATGTTCAAACCCGAAGATAATGACCGATTGCAAGCGACACTAGACCGGCTGCACAGCAGGTCAATGGAGTGGCAGTTGCTCATCAATTATGTTCTGTCCTCCCTATCGGTGATCCGTCCCCCTTGGTGTTTTCTTGCTATAAACGATGCTTGTGAGAACATTGGTGTACTTTTGCCTCCTGATTTGCACACAACCCGACAACTTGAGAAGGGTAGCGCCTGCTAACAGGATGTTATGTGCCATTAGATTTTTACCCGAACGATTCTCGAGGTCGTCAGGCTCCCATATACTTTCCATGTGCGCCCAATCCTCGAAGTCGGTTTACCCGCGGTTATCCTCTTACAAAGACCGAAAGAGTCCTTAGAGAAGGCTCAACGGCGAGGGTCGAAATCGATCTCCGCCATCCGGAATTTGTCCTTCACCCAACGACTTTGAAAGATGAACAGGTTTGCCTTAGATTATGGTCGTCGTTGTGATCTGATTTACACCAGACGCATTCTGCAAGGGATGATGGGAAATGAATTGAGGTTCTTTCAGTTCAGTTGACAGTTCGACAAGAGGTTACTCCTGGAAATTATTTAAGCTGATGAGGCTCGGAGTCCATCCCAATGTTACCTGGTGAAGTACTAGAAACAGTTACCCGAGCAAGTCCTCAGCGCACATAATGAAGTTTTAAACGACCGTTAAACTCCTATCTGCTGAGTAAGCAAAGATGGAGTAGTTTCTGCTGCGATCTTGATGGTCCCGTGGGGAACGACGTATCGCAAGGATCCGCGATATCTCTGTCTTGAACTGAGAGGGATGGAGCTGACAGGATCTCCATTATGCTCTCTACCACGCCAATGAACTCCATGATTTTTCAGGTCATTGGTGTCAAGCACATAGGAACCAGGACATTTCTAATTCTCACAATTGTGCTTGGGCATCACCATACGCGTTTTCTAGTCGAAGGGTAAACGATCATTTCTGAGGCAGATGCAAGACATGGCTGATGGGTAAGGTCGCGTAGTCGGTAAATGCATTGAGAAACTGTGGATGAAGACCACTAGACCCGACTTCAGAAGATTCGACGTAAAATGATGCCAAGAAACGAAAAGACGCTTAGTAAAGAACTCTCAAATGGAAAACCGAGGCAAAGGGCTCGCATGGGCCGCAGGGCACAAACACTAAGCAACTACTAGGCATTAACGTATCCGAGCAATGTCAGCAAGTGTAAAAACTGTACGATATCAAAGTGAAATACAAATACGGTTACAACAGACAGTTGTATAGAACCAATGAAGCAAGTGCACTTACGCCAAACGGAGAAGAACCTCCTAAGAAATCGCCGTCTATATCCATCTGTTCGCCCATTCCAGTTGTAAAAACTGTTCTACCGCCTAATCCCATGTTGAACATTGAGGAAAACGGATCGTCAGTCCCGAAGAACATGCGGAACGTCTCTCTTGGGTCGCCGTGGAAAGTATACGTGAAGCCAGGACCGCCACCTTCGCTGGTAGAAGCGCCGGACTTAAGTCCTTCCTCACCAAATTTATCGTAAACCTCACGCTTCTTAGGGTCAGATAGAACCTGTGGGTTTGCGCGTAAAAATGTTAAGCATGGAGCTTACCTCGTAGGCTTCAGCAACTTCCTTGAATTTTTCTTCTGCTGTTGGAGACTTGTTTTTGTCCGGGTGATACTTAAGTGCCATTTTCCTATAAGCTTTTTTAATGTCATCATCTGTAGCTCCTTTGGTGAGCCCTAGTACTTTGTAATAATCCTTGCCCATTGAACCGGAGTCTTCGGGGCACTATGCTTGCGGAGGAAATAGCGGAAGGGGACGTGGAATACGCATACGAGGAAGGAACGAGGAGCGGTTGTGTATCTATGGGACAACTGTCAGCGGTATTTTAGTTAACTTATGAGAGCCGCGGACAGCCCGAGTCTAGCATATTGGCAGCACTTTCGTTTCCTCCTCATTGGCAGTGAATTGAAATGTTTGAGCTTGATATCTTTTTGAGGTTTTACTACCAAAGGACAGATTTGGTACAGCGAATGCAAGTAGCATGCAAAAAATTTGACTTTTGCTAAATTTTGCTTGCTCCAAATAATTTTGGCTTATCGTGTTCCCCGGATTGCGTCGTAGCCGTTCTAAAGTACTTACAACACGTAGTCCATCTTTTTCGGGTACAGCCTCCGGCCGACTTTCCGGTATGTTTGTGTTTTGCAAACCGTTATGCACCTTGTTCTAACGCCCATCTGTCACTGTTTACTGCTTTGCAGGTAACAGCATGTCGCTTTTATCGTTTGGTATTTGTTTCACACTCTTTGAAATCGTCACGTCGAATTCACTAAATGCCGGCGATAACATGTCAGCGGCTGCGTTGATCAGCGAATCTAATGCAGTATGCAACAGCGTGAGCTGCTCAAAGTCGGGCGGACGGGTCTGGTGTCATGCAATGCTGGGTATGCAACTGATGGTAACATTAGACATGTGCCGTTTTGGCCCTGACCAGTACACAGTTCTTTCGACTAGCGATAGCATGCGGTTCAGTTTGTTTCTATACCGTAACCGTTGACCTGCGCTTCTTAACTTCACTGAGGACACATCGAGCAACGTCGTGCTGGGTAACCAGCAAAGTGGAGTTACTGGTGAGGAAACTGGGTGTCTCTATTAACGTCGGCGCACTGGAGGAAGGTACGCAACTGATCTCAATTGCAGCCGATGAAAAGCCGACTGACGTGAGGGTTACCGTGTGCCCCAGCGGCCCAGACGGCCCCTAACTAGGTCTCTGCTGTCATAGCGGAAGCCGTCTAAAGCGAGACCGAACGTATAGTCCCTGTGCCCAATAAATCAAGACAAGCTGGGCAAAGCAATTCCGTAACGCCTCCTCAAAACCTGAGGTACAGAAACCATAAAGGTAGTGGAGGTGGAACACAAAGCCACCACCTCAATTACTCTAGCTGCCATGGCGCAGAAACGCACAGTGTTACCTGACAAGCCGGTCGAAACAGGGTTAGAGTTGAATGCTCCTAGAATGAAAGCGCCTCGTCGAGGTGATTCTTTTACTGTTAGCAGCGTTATTTTCCGTAGGTTGCTGAATCCGCGGCAGCTCTTCCCAACGAAAGCATGTTGGGTATCCTCTAGTGGTTCAAGTCCTGCGTCAACAGGATTCTTCCACCTGTTTTCCCCGTGTCACTATCAGGATGCTAAATACGTTGAAAGACGTCCCTGTTGATACACCCAATCCGCGAACCCCACAACTTCGTTTAGTACCCTCAACCCCCAGAGGAACGTCAGGCGTCAATGCGCTTTGCATTCAAACGCAAGTGTAGCAATGTCAGCCTTCAGCCGGAACCCCACCGGCAGATCCACTAAGTTAACGGAAGCCATAAAAGTCAAAAAAGCAAGTGGGCGGGTGGTGAGGGAGGCATATGCCTTGTGATTTTTCAGCTGGTTTGCCAGAAGTCAAACCCTACCCTAACAGAACCGCTCTTTATAGCGTACGACCCAGGGCCGAATTCCTTCAGGTAGTGCTTAGTAACGAGCGCATCCTAAGGAACTAGGTACACTAAGTGGGTCTGCTTGTAGGTAAATGTCGTCCCGATATACTCGTTATCACCGAAACATGGTTGTCCCCGAATATCACAGACGGTGAGGTATGTTTACCTGGCTACGCACCGCTTAGCTGTGACTGCTCCGTGGGCCAGCAGGGTGGGGAGCGTCGCTCTTTATGTGAGATGTAAACTTATGTGCTGAGGACCTGGGTTTTCTAGTCGCCGGAGCAAACTGGTGTAGCACGGCCGAATACTGTGTTCACTTCCTCTGCTCAGTTTAAAGTTGTAGTGGTATACCGAACTCCTATAGTATCTCCGGGGTGGTTATTGAATTTATTCGTATGCATGCTGCCCATATGTGTATAATGCAGGGTGACTTCAACTTCGCTGACATCTACTGGGCTTATCTATCTCGCAGTTCGGCGGTGGACACTTTCTATTTTTATCTCCTCGACCTAAAGTTGCAACTGCCTTTGCATCAGCTGGGGGACTTCAAGACTGGGCTTATGAGTAACCACGTTACGTCTATCTTGGACCTCATATTTGCGATGCCACGCGCTTTCTAAGTGATATTACATATGACTGCCCTCTAGGAGACATTGACCAAGTCGGCATATCTTTTAATTAAGGTTTATCATGCTACCGCCGGGGCGATTCGGCAAATTTGGCAGGCAGTCTTTAACGAAATGCGAGACAAAGCTTCAGTTCTGCGTTGCTATATCAGCGTGGCTGATACCGTTGAGACAGTCTGGGAGAAGGTTCAGGCACACACCGAGATCTCTGCTCCCCACCTTCCACTCATCCATAAAAGGGTGACACAGGCGCAGACTCCTGGGATAGCTCATACAGGTAATACCTGTGCAGGAAACTCTCTAAGCGCTGGCGAACTTACCAAGCGGCCTCATCAAATGGTACCTACAAAAGTTAACGAGGGGTTAGAACTAAGTGTAAGCAACCTCTTCTAACTTTTCGCCTTCAGTACGTGGAGGGTATGGCTAACGCAGCCTTGACCAATACGAAGTTCTTTACTTATGTCAATAGTCGCAGCGGTACACATTCCTCCATATCGGCTTTACTACGAGAGGACAGGACCTGTGTGCACGCCGATTATGATATGCTTTTATACTTAGCGAACAGTAAACAGATGTCTTTTCTCGTAAGGCCGCGCTACTTCAGGTTGAACTGGTCACCAAAGTTCTGGAGGATGCATGCCTAACTGAAATCAGCATAACGGAGACACAAGTCATCGGGCTATTGCAAGGGCTTAATCCTTCCAAACCTTCCGCCCCTGATTAAATTCAACTGAAGCTGATGCATGTATTAAGCGCTGAGCTAAGTGGCCTTCTGAGTGCATGTTTAGATTATCGCTGGCCAGCTGCGCCTTACATTCGGAACGGAAGGGGGCAATTATCTGTCCGACTTTTAAGGACGGTGACAGAGCTCGGCCCGCGAACTACCGGCCTGTCTGTTGACATGCGTAGTAGTTAAGTTGTGTGAAAAATTGGTCAGGGATTGGATGGAGCATCACCTGATTACTTGTAACCTTCTCAATGCGACACAAAACGGGTCCCGTAAAAGATTTTCCTATCTGAAAAATTTACTTGTAGCTCCTTAAACCTGGGCTGAGGCAGTAGACGACGGTCACTCTTTCGACGTGTTTTCGTTGACTTCTTGAAAGCTTTTGATACTGTCCTACATCAACGACTCTCATTGAATTTGAGATCGTATGGGATATCTGGAGCCGCCCTTAAATGAGCCCCTGCTATCCTAGAGGGAAGAGCACAGTGTGTACTTGTGGGGCGTAGCTTAGACAAACAGTTCTTATTGTCGTTCCGCAGGGCTTGGTTCTAGAGCCGTTGCATTTCGTAATTTATGTCATTGACCTACCCCAGGAGCTTGAAGTACCGTCGCTATCGTTTGCTTATGACCTCAAGCTCTGGAATATTGTGGGTATCGCTGGGAAATCTGAGTCAATTCAGGGGTCTTGAAAAGGCTCTGGCATTGGTCAAACTTATGGCTGAGGCCCACCCACCAGGCGAAATATTCTGTCCTTCGCAACGGAGGTGCTAGTCCCACCAAACGCCACATAATTGGTAGAAGTGAACTTCCTGTTATCACTTAGCAGGTTTATCTAGGAAACGTCCACACTTCAGTGCTTCACTTTGAGGACAATTTGTGGGAGGCTGTTTGCAGATGTTTCCGTATGATGCGGTTTATCAGCTGCTCCTTCTGTGTTCTAACATCCGAAGTGGTTTTGAAGCTGTCCACACCTCTTATGCAACCCCACTATAAATACTGTGACCAGGCTTTTACACCTGGGCATTTAAGAGACAAATCTGTACCGGAGAGGGTTCTGCGAGTAGGTACAATGTACGACGGCAAACGTATGCCGACCCATTGCTTACCTCCGGTATGTATTCAAGGCATTAAGGTGGAATCAAAGAGACTAGATTTTCACCTACTCTACCCTAACGGGTAAGGTGTGTCCAGGCTTATCCTGGCTTTTTAGTCCCGCCAAACTGGTTATTCTCCGTTGTCACCCGTTGGAGCTCACTAAATGCGTTCAGAGCAAGTAAGGACGGATTTGCGCTTGTCTCGCCGAATTAGTGAATGTTGGAACAACTTCCGGAGGATGTTCTTGGGGAGTCTACTGTTGAGGGTTTTGAGCATCAGTTAGATGCTCATGAGTTGCAGTACCAAACCTTTCCTTGCTCCTAACTGACTTGTATTTTCAACTTTCCCTTTGTCTAACTTAACTTTTTGACACCTCGGTATTAACGTTATATAGCTGGCATTCCTCCTCTAGTTTTCTTAGCTTACTCTTAAGTCTTGTATTTCGCGTGATACGGCCTGTTAGGGACTGCTGGGCAGTAACATTTGGGCAGTAATTGGTTGGACTGGGTGTGACGCGATCTTCGTTTTGCCCTAACATCCCAAGTAGACCAACCAATTTCCGTTCCAACGTACGCAAAAGAAGGAATATTTAGGGGAGTATCCGAGCATTCTGGTCACAATTGATCTTGCACTTGAAAGGCGTCTTCGCAGACAAACATTATTTGGGCACATTATTCTAGGTTGCGATGGAGAAAGAAAATGTACCTTTCTCACATTTTACATCCACGCGCTGTCACTTAGACACCATAAATTTTGTTTAAAATACCGTTATACCATTACTTCTATTTCCAAGTACCCTGCTTTTTGGACAATTATTCCTATTAGTTCACTTGAACTGCATCCATACAAATACATTTGTGATCAACAAGTTGGTTTGCTTTCACATCTAGGGTATCGACAAAGGCTTCACTGCCTGGAGCTCTACTCGCTAAAGTACCGACGTCTCCGTGGAGAATTGGTACTTGTTTGTACCCTCTTATCCAAACTTGGACATCTCGGTCGCCATACACTCACGCTGCAATA